TTCCTCCCACAGCCTGAATCACTAAGTGTGAACGGTAGCCCGTCTCTTTGCCCTGTGACTCGCTGGGTACCTCGTCTCTCGCCCGATGGCAGTGCCCCTGAATTAGGATCCCCAGCCTGTTATTTATTTATTTTAATTTAAAATGTGAATTATAGTGTTCTCAGTCATCAGAACCAAACAGAAGGATTTCATTTTTCAGAGTCATAAAATACTTATGATAAATTCAGCCTATGAAAACGTATCTTTTCCTATAAACATGTCCTCTGGGATCAAACTGTCATTAGAAGCAAGAGTTCAGTCATATGTATAAATTATTAATGCTGTTAGTCTTACTATTATTGTCCCTCTCTGTAGCCCACCTTTCAGACAATCGCTGGCATGAGAATCACGGATTCACATGTCCTCAGCTACTTTGTCATGTTACCTCTGTCTACGTCGTGCCTGATTAGACTTGTAGCATTCGTAAGAGACAGTCCTCAGGTACACCACGATTCCGAAGAAATCTCAGAAGCGGGCTATCAGTGTTTGTGTCCATGTTGAAAGCAGGGCATTCAAAGTTAAGTGCCAGTTCTGAAGAGCGTGAGCTCTCCACAACTACCATGGATTTGGGTTTCCGAATGCAACACGTTTTACGTTCTTACAATAAAAATTTTTATTGTAATGGTATTTTTTTTACGTTTGCACAATATATGATCACGTTCGTACAATATAATATTTATATTGTACGAACGTGATAATTATGTATGTTGTAATAACGTGATATTATGTTGTTCAAACGTGAAAAGTATATTGTAGAGACAGGAAAAGTTTCTTGTTAGAACAATAAACTTTTCACATTATAACATGATATACTTGTATTTTTCCTTTGCCTGGGTGGCAGCTCTACGCTTCCGTACCCTTAACAGATACTCTGACCCATAACTATCGTAAAACGCTACGACCGGAAGTAGAAACCTTTCTCGCATGCGGGGTACCGATCGGGTTTCCGGTGTTGTGCCAAAGTAGTTACCCACGTCAAAAATTGTTTCCCCATTCACGGGAGCGCGCAAAGTAGGA